TCCCATGAGGTTTTAGTCGCCCCCACTCCCCCGGCTCATACCTGCTGTCCACAAGGCTCCCATGCAGCCGCCATCTTTCTTTCCAGAGAGGAGAAGGCGACTGGGGCCACACCCTTTCCCCTCCGGACAGACCTGATGGCCTGGATTAACGCATAGTCCGTTCACTTTTCTGCTCCAAGCTGTCGGGTTCTGCATTAAGTCCTTGTGCTTCTGGGGCCGTGGCCGTGCTGGAGAGCCGCTCGTGGGGGGCAACTGGTGACCTCGGTAGGGCGTGAAGGACGGACTGGAATGCCCCCCTTCCCATGAGGCTTTAGTCGCCCCCACACCCCCGGCTCATACCTGCTGTCCACAATGCTCCCATGTGGCCGCCATCTTTCTTTCCAGAGGGAGGAGGGCGGAAGGGACCAACACCCTTTCCCCTCCGGGCAGACATGATGGCCTGGATTAATGCATAGTCCTTTCACTTTTCTGCTCCAAGCTGCTGGGTTCTGCATTAAGTCCTTGTGCTTCTGGGGCTGTGGCCGTGCTGGAGAGCCACTCGTGGGGGGCAACTGGTGACCTCGGTAGGGTGTGAAGGACGGACCAGAACGCCCCCCTTCCCATGAGGTTTTAATCGCCCCCATTCCCCCGGCTCATGCCTGCTGTCCACAAGGCTCCCATGTGGCCGCCATCTTTCTTTCCATAGAGGAGAGGGCAAATGGGGCAACACCCTTTCCCCTCCGGACAGACATGATGGCCTGGATTAACGCATAGCCTGTTTACTTTTCTGCTCCAAGCTGCTGGGTTATGCATTAAGTCCTTGTGTTTCTGGGGCTGTGGCCATGCTCCAAACTTAACTATGATTTTCAGAGAGAAACGTTGGGTGGTTTACTTCCCATGGATCACTCTGTATATAGAGAGATGTCGCGCAGCCACGTAAGCATCTGCACGGTTTTGAGGAAAAGTCCTAGTTCCCGCATACTCGAGCTGTGCTTGTAGAGGCTTCTGGTCACCGGGATTCCATCTGGGGGAGGCGGGATGTGGTACCTACCCCATCTGGGACTTCCCGATGATCTCGGCTCTTTTTGGAACCTGTTTTTTTTTTTTTTCCCTTCGGGATCTGTGGATCCTGCCCTCCATGTTGTCCTTCTCTTCGGCTGAATTTATAGTCTTTCTTAACTTTAAACAGTTTTTATTCTTTATATTTAGCTGGTGATATTTTCCAGTAATATACTCAGGAAGAGAAGAGAGAGTAGACCTTATAACCATGTTCCTGATCTTAGGGAGAGATATTTGGTTTTTTACCAATAAATAGGTTTTGCAATTTTTTATCAGGTTGAGGAAATACTTAGGATTCTTCTTTTGCTGAGAATTTGTTGTTGTTGTTTTATTTTGTTTTTGGGTCACACCCAGCAATGCATAGGGATTACTCCTGGTTTTGTACTCAGGAATTACTCCTGGGGTGTTCAGGGGACCATATGGGATGCTGGGAATTGAACTCAAGTCAGCTGTGTGCAAGACAAACTCCCTACCCTCTGTATTATCACTCCAGCCCCTTTGCTGAGAATTTTTAACCATGAAAAAGAATTGGGTGCTGTCAGCTTTTCTTCATTAATTTATTTAATCATATGATTTTTTTCATTTAGCCTAAAGATATAATGAATTAATCTACAAGAATTTCAAATACTGAGCCAGTCTTGCATACCATTAATTATTCTCATTTGATCATACTTCTTACACATTTTGGGTTCAATTTTCTTTTCCTTTTTTTTCCTTCTTTTTTTATTTAAAAAGTTTAAAAAATGAAAGTACCATGATTTACAAAGTTCACGCTCCAGCACCAACTCCACCACCAGTGTGGGCCTTCTTCCCTCCACCAGGAGTACCATGTTCCCTCCTACCCACACTCTCCTCTCATCCTGAGCCTGCCACCTTGACAGGCATATTGTAAAGTCTGATTATTGAAATTTGGATCTTTTGTTTTCAGTGTTGTTGACTCTGTGGCTTGGATATTTAGCTATACCATACCATTACTCTACCTATGTATTCAGATCCTCTTGACCCCTGCTCCCCATTGCTTCCTATCTATCTCTCTACCCACCTTGATTTTCCTTCTTTGCCTTTCTTCCTCTTATACGCTAAGGTCTTGGGTGATCTAGGCATCCCCTCCTTTCAAACAATGCATTCCTTTGCCCAATTTTTCTAACTGGAGTGATAGCACAACGGGTAGGGTGTTTGCCTTGCATGTGGCTGACCCGGGTTCGATTCTTCCGTACCTCTCAGAGAGCCTGACAAGCTACCAAGAGTATCTAGCCCACACAGCAGAGCCTGGCAAGTTCCCCGTGGCATATTCAATATGCCAAAAACAGTAACAACAAGTCTCACGGGAGATGTTACTGGTGCCTGCTCGAGCAAATTGATGAACAATGGGAGGACAGTGTTACAGTGCTACCACATATAAGTGAGACTATTCTGTGTTTGTCCTCCTTTTTCTGACTTACTTCATTTATCATGCTATCTTCCATTTCCATCCATGTTGCAACAAATTACATCATTTCATATTATCCTTATAGCTGTGTAGTAGTTTTCTACTGAGTATGTATACTAAATCTTCATGATCCTCTTCTTATCTATCTTTGGACACCAAAGTTAGTTCCATATAGCTATTGTACTAAGTGCTGCAATAAGTAATGGTGTGCATATGTCTTTTTGAATGAATGCTTTTGTGTCCTGGATATAGATATCCACAAATTGAATTGCTGGGTCATGTGACAACTCAATTCTTAGTTTACTGAGATATCTCTATACTGTTTTCCATAACGTTTGAAACATTCTCACCAGCAGTGGTCCCAGTATTTTTCATTGTGCCATTCGCACTGGTGTGAAATGTCATCTTGATTTGGATTTCTGTAATAATAAGTGATGGTAAGCATATTTTAGGTGCTTGTTGGTCTTCCTCAGATATATTAATTTTTAAAAGTATATTTGCATCTAATTTCATGAGATGCATTTATCTCTAGTTTTCTTTGTTTGCACAATCTTGGACTTTGGTGTCAGAGCAATTAAGATCTCATAAAGTGAATTGGGAACTATTCTTTCTTGTTCTGAAACCTCTAAAAGAGGTTCTGAAAAGCTGCTATTTATTCTTTGTATGCTCTTTGTTTTTAATGATAAATACTCTCTTTCCCTCTATATATTCTTGGATATCCAAATAAAAAAGCTAAAGCTTCTTCATAGGCTAATATATTTTAAAAAGGTCATTTGATAACAGTTATCAATGAGTTCTATTCCATTGATTTATATGGAAAAAGGGAAGACTCAATTTATTACCTATTTCCTACAGATAAATTTAAATTTCCAAAAGATAATTTGAGCATAGGCAATCCTTAACAGTTTCAGCTAAAAGGTGGGGTTTAAAAACTTGACTGCTTATCCTATGTGAACTTTTCCAAGACATGGAGGAATACAATCCAATTCCCCATTTCTCTACTTTCAGATGCAGTTAGGTTAATGCCTTGATATTAATAACTCACCTGTTCTTGGATTGCCTGACCTTATGCATTCAAAATGCTTGGAAAATCTGACCTCTAGCCTTTAAAGTATATAAAGCTATATCTATAAGTGAATTTAAGAAAGTTTTAAGATTTTTTACCATCTTTTCCTGCAACATTGTGTGGAATGACAATGTGAAATTCTAATATTTAACTGTAGCACTGTAGCACTGTCCTCCTGTTGTTCATCGATTTGCTTGAGTGGGCTCAGTAACATCTCCATTGTGAGACTTGTTGTTACTGTTTTTGGCATATCGAATATGCATCACGGGTAGCTTGCCAGGCTTTGCTGTGCAGGCAAGATACTCTCAGTAACTTGCCGGGCTCTCCAAGAGGGGCGGAGGAATTGAACCTGGATTGGCCAAGTCGGCTGTGTGCAAGGTAAACACCATACTGCTGTGCTATTGCTCCAGCCCTAGTATTTAACATTTGTAATAAATCTTAGAGTTCATCTACCGCCAGTGATTAAAAGTAGAAGAGAAAGTTTTCTTTCTATGATCCAATCTGCGAATGTGGGATGAGGTATTAAATTTTATATTCAGGGACTGGAGAGATAGCACAGCTGGTAGGGCATTTGCCTTGCACACGGCCCACCTGGGTTTGATTCCCAGCATCCCATATGGTCCCCTGAGCACCGCCAGGAGTTAACTCCTGAGTGCAGAGCCAGGGAAGCCGGCCTCACATGCTGGGGGAAAAGGCAGTTCAGGCAGAGAAGGGATCACCAAGTAAATGGTGCTAGGATGGCCCGCTCGGGATGGGAGATGCAGGCTCAAAGCAGACTGTAGACTGAACATGATGGCCACTTAGTACCTTTATTGCAAACCACAACACCCCAAAAGAGAGAGAGCAAAAGGGAATGCCCTGCCACAGAGGTGGGGTAGGGTGGAGGGGATAAGGTGGGGGTGGTGGGAGGGATGCTGAGACCATTGGTGGTGGAAAATGGGCACTGGTGGAGGGGTGGGTACTCGATCGTTGTATGACTGAAATGCAAGCATGAAAGTTTCTAAGTCTGTAACTGTACCTCACGGTGATTCACTAATAAAAAATTTTTAAAAAATTTAAATTTTACATTCAAGTCTGTCATCTATCAATCTATCCATTGATCAATCAATTGATCAATCAATCTACCTTTAAACACTTCATATACTTAGATATCCAGTTTGTTTAAAATTTTTTTTTCAAATAAAATGCTAAAGCTCCTTATTAGGCTTATAAATTTTAAAAAGATCATTTGATAACAGTTATCAATAAGTCTTATTTCATTGATTTATATGGAAAAAGGGAAGACTCGATTAATTACCTATTACCTAAAGATAAATTTAAAGCATTTTTATGCAACTTTAAAGCATGTTGGGAGCTGTAGGTAGAGGGGTCAGGGCACAAATGACTTAGTAATGATGTTAAAATTACTGATTCTTATGACGGGGAGTCAATCTTAGAGTAATTCTTTTCTTCATGTCTGTTTTGCAGGAAAGTCATGGATTACTACAGAAAACATGCAGCTGTCATTCTCGTTACATTGACTGTGTTTCTACATATTCTCTATTCCTTCCCCGATGGTGAATTTGGAATGCAGGGTGTGTGACCTATGTTGGGTTTGCAGTAATAAGACACACACATACACACACACATATGTATATATGTATGTATATATGTATGTATATATCTCTCAATAATTCTATTAAATGTATTTATACCTTCTTTAAAAATTTTTGCAGATAGGTACATTTTTGCGGGGAACGAGGGGGCTGGAGGGCTAGAGCGATAGCATAGCAGGCAGGGTGTTTGCCTTGCTCACAGCTGAGCAGTATCCCACCCCCACGGCAAAGCCTGGCAAGCTACCCGTGACAATATGCCAAAAACAGTAACAAGTCTTACAATGGAGATGTTACTGCTGCCTGCTAGAGCAAATCAATGAACAATGGGAGGACAGTGTACATTTTTGCAGATAGGTATGTAACATAATAAAGCATTTATACATTGAGAGTATAAACCTAAATTAGATTCAGAAAACACAGTGTAAATATCTTACATTTCATCTGAATGTTGTTATTTGAATTCATGATGTTATTTGAATAGCAACCCATAAAATATCATCTGAAATCAATTTTTTTATTAATCTTTATTTGAAGTTTACAAGTAGAAATTTACTCTTACTTAGTTGTCTCAGTTTCCTTTAAACTGGAATATTTGAGGCATTTTAGTATTGTCTTTGTAGATGAATTTTCTTCAGTTAATGAGAAAAATAAAACTATGCAGTCAATTTGCTTTGCTGATTTGTTTGAAAAATCTTAGACAGGAGCTGATATGATTCCATTTGCTATAAAATTGTGAGCAACTATTGGCTATAGTTTTTTCTCCAGAGAGTGATAATATTTGAATCCCAATTCCCAATTGCATATGCTGATTTAATATCAGGCCCTCTATACTTACCGAGCTTTCTTAATTTGGAAATATTTTTCTTTGTCTTTCTGTCTGTAATGCTATGAGATAAAACAATAGAAGATTCTAAAGGGAAATATTTTGCCTATGAGCAGAATTCTCCTCTCAGATAAACATGGTGTTTCATCTGTCAAGTTTTCTGTTCCCTATAGGCACACTATTAGCATTGCAAAAGGGAATGCATGCTTAAAGAGAAACTGCCACTATTGGGATTTTCCATGCATATCTAAAAAAATTTTGCTATGAAAATAGCTGTAATTAATATAAATAGAATAGCATGTGTGAAGATTAGCATATAACTCTCAATATTTATTTCCTTTGATTTCCCAGAAAGAAAAGAAGATTTACCATTCCATAAAAAGAAATATATTCCTTTTGAATAATTTTTGGATTAATTTGCTCTTGGCCTTTTTGTGTGTGGTAGGTTGCCCAGAATGCAAACTAAAGGAAAACAAATATTTCTCCAAGCTGGGTGCTCCAGTTTACCAGTGCATGGGTTGTTGCTTCTCCAGAGCATATCCCACCCCAGCAAGATCTAAGAAGACAATGTTGGTCCCCAAAAACATCACCTCAGAAGCTACGTGCTGTGTGGCTAAAGCATTTACCAAGGTGAGAACTTAAAGGATCCCTGCAACTTTCTAACTATCCAATCAGTGCAATGTCCTTAAATTACAGACAGGGGGTTAAATGCAGAAGATGTCTAATGACCTTCTTGGAAGTTACAAGAGGGAGGGATTACACTGTCACTTGTGGGCATAGGCTTGATTTGTTCCGAATGAACAGAGTTCATGCAGGGAACAAGGGGCAGAATGGAAAAGAGTACCCTATGCCTGCTCAATGCAAGCCTGACCTTCTTTCAGAGTAAAAGTAACAGCTGAAAGGGGAGTATGCCAATGTAGCAAGCACCTATTTAGTTCAGCTAGCCACAGACTATTTTATTTCATAACTTCATTTTTGCTTGTCTAATATTTTCCCTATTCTCTTTAGGCCACTGTAATGGGAAATGCTAAAGTGGAGAACCACACGGAATGCCACTGTAGTACCTGTTATTACCACAAATTCTAACTACTCTGCAAAGAGCCTGCTGATGATTGCTAGCTTCCCAAGATGGAAAATTAATTTGTTCAGTGCTATGGCTTTGAGACATAAAACCTCCTTTCCCCTTATCATACCTCTACCGACATGCTTCAAGGATATACTGCAGCTTAATTGTCTTTTTCTTTCTCCAATGATATAATCAATGATCAAATTCTTTAAATTTGGTATGAGCTTCAAGCATGATCATTAAAAACCTGGTCCCACTAGAAATAAAGTCTTTCAATCATGACGATCAGTGAATTCTACTTTTTTCTTAAACATTAATATTCAGGTGTTTATTTTTGTTTTTTGTTTTGCATAGAACTCATTGAAGGAGTGAGCCAGTGAATGAACTGGGGTTCCACGCACTCAGTGATCTAGTTTCTAGAGACCCTTTTAGAACAACTTCTGAATCTTTTAGCCAGTGAACTAGATATAAGATAGTTCATTGGGATGAAAGAAGAAAGTGTGGGTTTCTGTTTCCATGTTGTATCATTCCTTTAAATTTCCATTTGGAAGAGTTTTATAAAAGCACAGATATATTAGTATGTTTCAATCATATATCTATGGTATGCAGCTTTTTAAAAAATGGTTTTGTTTTAGCGCCATATCCAGTAGTGCTCAGTAACTATTCATGGCACGGTGCTTATTCCCTATAGTGCTTGGGGAACCATGCTCTGCCATAGATCAAACAAACACTTTCAGCATACAAAACAAGCATACTAACACTTTGCATCATCTTTCTGATCCATTATTTTATGAACAAGTAATTGTGCATATATTGGAGATGTTTGGTCTGAAATCTTTTACTAAAGAAGTATATAAACTGAAATTATTAGACAATAATTTCCTAGGGTCTGAGAAAGGCAAACTCCTTTCCAGTCTACAGTTTATACTTACATGGCTTATGTCTAACAAAAACAAGTCTTGGTGGCATCTTTATGAGTCTTTGGCAGTCATGTTGTAACTAAGTGAATGGTGGCCAAGGAAAGAGCATTATTGTCCTTAATTAAAGTTGGTCATTACTTCAAAGTTCCAGTTAGAACCAGGCACTTTAATAATTCATATTCAGGTGTGGATGGGAATTTTGATGAACTTAGTATCACTGTGCACTTACTACAAATGAGGTGGAGTATTAAGTGCTTTCACTTCAAATGTTCCAGAGCAGTCTCATGCTCAGAATCACATTTTTTGAGCATTTTCACTTAAAAGCAGAGATAGTTTTTACTTTGAGGACCATGGTTTTATGTGTAGTAAATGATGTTAGCTATGGTATAGATCAAAGTCACCCAAAAGTTCTACTCTTAAAGGAGCCTGAAATTAATGAAAAAAAAAAAGTCACATCAGTCACAGAAGTTCAATAACATGTTTTTTCATCATCACTTTTTTTTTCTTCAAGATTCATTTCTAAGTGAAATTCAGGTTTAGAGAAGTTGGGAGAAAATTTCTGTCAGGTTGGGAGACACACCAATACCAGGGTGAAACATTAAAATGAGTCTGTATTCTCTTTAAGGAATAAACATGCAGATATTACTTCATTTTTTTCATCTACATATTTATTATACTTCTATTTTATGACTATAAGAAATGAATAATTGTGGTGATTCAGAGATAATGGTATTCTTTGCATGACAAAATTGAGAAAGTATAATACACCTTAAATCGAAGAACAAAGGTGTTGATTATTGAATCACTCAAACATTTGACAGATATTTATTGAGAATTCACTATGTGTCAGGCCAAAAGAATTGTTCTGGATAATTGAAAAAAATGGAAAGCTTCTAACTGAAGTTTCCTTGTCCTTGTGGGATTTGACAGTGGGTATGTAAGAAGTAATAAGAGAGAAAAGGGATGTCACTGTGGTAATTTAAATCAGTTTAACTAGCCATGATGAAAACTCAGGTGAAATGTCATGGCTATATTCAACTTCATACCTGACCATGTGCCAAGCACGGTGCTTGTTCTAGAAAAGCCAAGATTAATATGACACAAGCTGCATTGAGTCCACCTATATGGTGAAGTTGGGAGGAAAGTCATAAACAAAGAATCACAATGTAAAAGGGTGTGAACTTTGGTAGTTAAAGGAAAGGATAGTTAATTTGTTGGAACTTTACAGAGTAGGAGATAACTGAATAGAATATAGAAGAGAAGTAGAAGAGAGATAGATGTGGGTTGGTTATAGAAGATTGATGGGCTTGGTTATATTCTAGTTTGGAGATGTTGTGTAACTATACATACCGAGATGTAATTAATATGATGGTGACAGAATTGAAGAAGGCCATTATGAATAGGCTGAATAGAGGTGGTAGGAATGCAGAGACTATAGAAACAAATAGATATTTGCTAAGAAGTTCTTGTATAACAAGCAAATAAATGTGCCTTCCAACTAGGACCTTAGTGTTTCAGAACAAACATGCACCTTTATGCAAGACCAATGTCGCTTGAATTTCAAAACAAAACCAGGTAGACTATAGAATAAAAAGTGAAAAGCATAACCATGAGATTAAATGTGGGGATGACTCAGTGGTAGGGTGCTTCCTTTTCAAGTGTTAGGCCGTGAGTTCGATCCCCAGCTTTGCACAGGCTGAGCATAATCCCTGTGGCATTGCCATTTGTGATCCCAGGTACCACAACAAAAAATGTGTGTGGTCTCGTGCACCCACAACTCAATATGTGTGAACATGGCTAGGGTATCACAAATCAGGGTGCAAGCATTGTGGTCAAGTGTATGACTTCCTGTCATCACAGTAACAACTACGAGAAGGGATGGAGAAAATATGTTGAAAGAGAAAAAGTACGTTAAGGGCTGAGGATATAGTACAGGGGCTCTGGTCCCTGTTCACTATAGGCATCCAGTCTGAGTGTTATTGAAGGCTCCTGGGCAGCATTAGGGGTAGCCTTGGTGGTCTGACAAACACCACTGGGCTCTAGCAGCACCACATCCTTGAATATATCAGCCTAGATGCCCGAGAATCACTGAAAATGACCTCTGAGCCCTCTTACCACCACTTGGGAGTCCTCTCCCTAAAAGTAAAAAAGAAAAGATGACTTGAAAAGTAACTTCCTGATGCATGTGGGACGTCTTGTTCCTACTCTCTTGTCCCGTGATAGCCCCATTCACAGTCCTTACATGAAACATATTTAAAAAGCAAGAGTCTGAGGGGCACTCATCCATTAAAGGAAGAGATGCTCAGCTGTATACTTTATTTTAATTTTATTTATTGATTTTGGGGGTCCTAGAGCATGGCGGCGGCTGGGTAGTGGAGGTAGTGGAGGTAATGGATGTCTGCTGGGCTGTTGGGAGCAGGCAGAGGATCTCTGCTCCCGGGTTCGTTGAGCCTGAAGTCCAAGGTCACAGAGTTCTGCTTCCCTGGTTCTGTGGGGCTTCACTTGTGCGTGAGTCTTGGCTCAAGTGTCCGGAAAGTGTCCTGAAGCACGGCGGCGGCTGGGTAGTGGAGGTAGTGGAGGTCTGCCGGGCTGCTGGGAGCAGGCAGAGGAGGAAGAACTCCACATCGGGACCCATGGCCTAAAATGGAACGAACAGGGTGAGAAACTGTCTGAGTTCATCATGTCGACCAAGACCATACATGATAACTCACAGTTCCAGAAGGCAAAATCTAAATGTTAGACATGGGAGCCTCCCAGTGGATGGTTCCACAACAAAATTAACCATATCATATTCAATCAATGGTCTTGACTTACCGATGTCGCTGTTGTCCCCAAATTCCAAATGGGATCAGACCACTGTCTCCTTCGTGCAAAATTCTTCTTCACAGAGTGTGGAGGAAGGATTGCAAAGCTAAAGAAGAGAACTCCCAGAATGACCATCAACTGGGAGCTCTTTGGCACTATTGTGGCAACATGGGAAGATGTCATCATTGACAACATTGACGAGGAATACGATCGACTGGTTCGGCACCTCCATGATTGTGCAAAGAACGCCGAGAGATAGCCAGAAAAAGATGCCTGTCTTCGAAAACTCTCGAGCTCATTTGCCAACGTGGCTTGGCGCAAGCCACAGGCAACGGCAAGAGAATGTCTGAGCTCACAAAACAGTGCAGAGAAAAGCGATCAAGGAAGACCACAAAGAGAGAAGAGCAGCAATGCTGGCACATGTGGCAGAAGCTGGGAAAAGCATTCACAACACCCGCCTGTCATTTGCCAACTACAAGACCAAGATGACTGCCCTCTGACGTCCTGATGGATCTATCACATCTTCCAGAAGGGAAATGGAGAAGATTATCCATGACTTCTACTCAGATCTCTTCAATAGCCACATTCACCTGCCCACATACAAAATTCTGCAGGATGGATATGTCGTTCCCAACATTCTCCCTTCCGAAATCCAACACGCTATTTCATCACTAAAGAAGTGAATAGCACCAGGCCCAGACAAGATCAGACCCTGAAGAATCTGCTGTCAGTACTCATCAATATACTGGCTCGGCTTTTCACATGCTACCTGTCTGAATGCAAGATTCCACCCCAGTGGAAAACCAGCAGGACTGTACTACTGTACAAGAAGGGAGACATCCACAACATTGGCAACTATTGCCCCATCTGCCTGTTGTCTGTCGTCTACAAGCTGGTCACTTGAGTCATCCTGGATAGGATTGGCAGAACACTAGATGAAGGACAACCATGTGAGCAAACCGGTTTCTGAAAAGAATTCAGCATGATCGATCATATCCACATGATAACCAAGCTCATAGAGGTTTCTGGGGAGTTCAAGAATGCTGCTCTGTCTAATGTTCATTGATATAAAGAAGGCCTTTGATTCTGTTGAGGCTGAAGTGGTCATTGAAGCCCTAGCCAAACAGGGCATTCAAACTCAATACATCAGGATCCTCCATGAGCTGTATTGCGGATTTACTACCAAGATCTCACCATTCTACAGGGAGGTGATCATTGATGTCAAGAGAGGGATTTGGCAGGGTGATACCATTTCACTGAAACTCTTCAGTGCCACCCTCGAGAACGTCATGCGACGACTGGAATGGGAGAGAATGGGAGTGAAGATAGAAGGTCAGCAACTACACCACCTCCACTTTGCTGATGACATCGTTCTAATAACAACAAAACATCAGCCTAGCGGCATAAATGCTGGTCTACTTTAACCATTAGTGTGGAAAGGTCGGACTCCAGCTGAATCTCACAAAGACAATGTTTATGAGAAACAGTCTTGTTCCTGACATTCCATTCCCTCTCAACAGAAAGAACATCTCTGAATGCAGCAGTTATGTGTACCTA